ACTTATGAAAACCATTAAGCTGAATATTTTTTTTCTACACATCTGCAGCTCTTCTTACTGTAGTTACAGCTGCAATTAATTAATCTGTTTAAAACTAATGACAAAAATTACTGTGACTGTGGTATTGGCAATCCCACACAGACCATTCATGCCTTTGCAGCAAATTAAAAAATAATGACATTGATATATATACTCATGCATGATACTGAATCAACACATCCAAACAGCATTCTTGTAAATATGGAGGGACAGAGTGTCAGAGGCTGAGAAACTACATTTTTCTCCTTCCTCCATTTCATCTTCATAAATAGTAAATCTATTTATTCCACTACATTTATGGCCAAAGAGAAAACGTGAGCAAAGTTTTTTTTGTTATCCAACTGACAGGTTTAATGTGACCACAACTTCAGGTTCACTGCTTTCACGACTACACCACTTTGACGATGATTGCAATGACACCCAAGAGCTATTCTCTGTTAAAATACTTTTTGTGATGCATTCTCAAAATTAAAATGCAATGAAAAACAATTAAAATATTCCTCAATTCATAGCTAAGTGAGACAATGTACGTAAACACGTATGTGGCTACTTGTACAGAAACCAGTTGTAAGTAAGAAAAAATATATATAATAAAAGATATATATAAAACAACATAATGCAGATCTCACAACCTTACAATAATACTTTCACAAATTACAAAGATGGAGTCATTTAATACTATAAAGACTCTGTTATGGCTTAACCCAATGGCACCGGGTGTACAAAACAAAAAAAACAAAAAAACTACGCTTAAGCAAACAAAGGCGGCGAGTAGGGGACATCAGCCCGAATCACTGACTCGCTGCGCTTTGGCGTGCTGCCGCGGCATTTGGCTGCACGCCAGCTTTCGAGCGGTTTGTTTGCACGCCGATCAGCGTCACCCTGCACCAACGGGTTAATAATGTTCAGGTGAACCAACAGATCTTTACAGTAACATACTCCAATTTATGAAAAAAAAAAAATAAATAAATAAAATAAAATAAATAAATAAAATAAAATAAATAAATAAAATAAATGTCAATTCTAGAAGAGAAAAAAACTAGTTAAAAGATCACAGATGAGATAAGGAAAAACAAACAAGAAACGAGATTCTTATTGCTATATATGTTTATGCACTGAGATTCCGTATTTCAACCCCTGATGAAAGGGCTACAATGCAATGCTCACACAAAAGTATATTTCTCCAACTCTTGGTAAACATGTCCTGCCTTGTAAAAAATATTCCGTATATAATAGTTGAGAAAGAACAAAATTGATGGCTGGTTACAGTTGATGAGTATAACATTTTCACTGACTGCAGTTGACAGACATCCTGACGCAAAACTGGTGTGCTGGGAAGAGGTAAAAGATGCCAGATAGTGCTTTCTCATTACCAGCTTCCTGCCCAGACATCAATCTACCTCCAGACTGCAACACACTGCGCGAGACATGTGTTCACCTATATCCTTGTAATATTATAGATGCCATCCTTTTAGGAGTTAAAATATAAAAGTAGACAGAAAAACATTAAGATTACTCCTTAAAATATAAACCTTATCAATAATAAAGAAATAAAATGGAAGTGTAACAACTTTGGCTTTTTATATTAGTCGGAAACCCTTCATGACCAGCAAAAGAACCTTCAGATCTAAACACAAGCAACATCAGGTTTTCTTAAAGGGAATGGACTGACGTAAGGGGAGAGCTGTCGGAAAGATGCTTAAAACGCTCAGGAATGATGCCATAAACATACTGGTAATTCTTGACTTACACAATTATTCAAGATTTATTCAAGTTATATGCTCAGTCAATAAAGAATGAATCCACAAATATTCATCCCTGACAAAGATTACAAGCTTGTCGGACTTGTTACCTCAAGTCACAAGCACTGCGCATTCCCAACCGACAACACTACCAGGCATACCCCTTTTTCATTCCTCAATTAGAAAGAAATATGCCCTTGTATTCCCCCGCTTGTGCTCAGACCTCGAGAGCCCTGATATTATGCTAATCGCCAAAGGATATTCAACCTTTGAATCTCACCAACCTTTTAACACATACAGCTAACTCGTAACTAATTCTGGGACCTTCCTGCAGAATTGATCATTACAAAAAAAGAAAACATCTGCTAAACAGTCTATCAGCAAAATGTTTAGCATGCGGAGGATTCAGTTCCCAAACCTATTTTGAGAAAAAATTGCAACAGAAAATAATTAAATAATTAATAATTAAATAAGATAGTCTGGAAAAGATTTTCTTCCCCTCATTGTCTTAAATTATGATCAATCACTATGCTATAATCCTTCATAAGCATTTTTATGAATAATAGTAATCTACTCAGTGTCAGCTCTCTTTAAATATACATAAATAAGTAAATAAAATAAAACTTATATCATGATGGACCTTCCTCATAGTTCTAGCTTGTGACCTACGTGATCATGTGCACTAAGCGCCTCATCTAACACAATCGAACATGTGTTGTACTCTTCAAGTTTATCTCTACGGTTTTCTTTCGATAATTTTTTCGGCATGCGTTTCGAACGGCCTGAAGCCGCCGTTGTCTAGATGTACATCTCCATGTTCCTCTTGACCTGGTGGCCCGTCATGGAGTGCTGCACTGCCCAGTCTGCATCCGGCGCGGCATCAGCCCCATCTGCCTCGTGGGTCTGGTAGTCACCTTTGTGCCGTGCCATGTATCGCCCAATTAAGAATCCCATGCACAGCAGTGCAATAAAAATGATTGCAAGAACTCCTGGAAAAGATGATGAAAGGAATATAAATATCATATATATCTATATCATATATATATATATATATATATATATATATATATATATATATATATATATATATATATATATATATATAATCCTGTGTGTCAAATATACCATACTATACATTTCTTTTATAAATAAACAAACAAATTAATGAAAATATATTATCTCAAAGACATCGCAGGTGTTATATATATAGATATATTTCTACTATATAATATTTCACGGAGTTAGTGTACGAGTCAAAGGACAAGTGCTGTATTTTTGCAATTAGCACAGGTGGCAAGACTCCTAGGATCTGTCCCTCCCCCTCTGCTCACCTCCAAGGACCGCCGAGTTGTCCTGGTAGAGCCCCATAAGGACTTCTTTTGACACTTCTGGTGGCGGCCTCGTTTCCGTCTCCTCCTCCGGATGTCGTACAGGCTCGATGCCGCAGTAGTCTTCGAATATGGTTGAGGCTGCGGAGAGAGAATTCCATTGTTCATTGTCTATCGAGGTGATGAAGTCATATAACATGCTTTTATTTCCTGTCTCTATGTGTGTGTTGTGTGGCTTTCCCTTTTTTATGTTACAGAAGCCATCCTTTAACGGGATAAACCGAAATCAAAAAGGAAAAAATTAAGATTATTCCTGGTAATCTTCACATTCAGCAAATACTTCAAAATCAAGTTAATCCAGCCTAAGTAATGTAACCGGATATCTCTGCAAAAAGAAAAGTCAAAAATGGATTATTGAAAACCTATATTTAAAACCATTTTATGGTCAAACCTACTAGTTGAGAGGAAAGAAAAAATTGAAAGTATGAGAAAGGAAAGGAAAGGAAAGGAAAGGAAAGGAAAGGAAAGGAAAAGAGAAGAAAAGAAAAGTCAAGAGAAGAGAAAAGAAAAGAAAAGAAAGAAAAAATCACAATGCCTACATGACATCATGAGCTCAGTTCTGCATCTTCTCTATGATAATACACTCAAAAGGAAAAGAAGAAGAGGAGGAAGAACTTGAGGTAATATTTAGCATGTTAAGTTTTTCAAAAAGGCTACAAGAACAAAGCTACAAGACTTTAATAGACAAACACTATTGTTTCCTATAAGGTAGTTATTCCCGAACAGGGTGCTGTGGCATCCCGGGGCACCACAGGCAATACGTATGAGAATTCTTTTTAACAAATCTCAGTTCACTCTCATTCTTCTGGTGAATTTTGTGCATTTCGTTCTGGCAGTAAACCCCTTTTTATTTTGGTTTGTGCAGCAGTAATTTATGAAAATGCAAAGATGTTCGCTGCATAAAGATATATTCTTGTGAGTGAGAGAGGTTTAAAAAATGGTGCTACGGATATGACACTGTGAGCAGAGGGAGCCATCATGGAAAAAAGTTTGGGAATCAAACCTAAAAATATTCATACTTCTTGTGTTCTGTGTTTCATTCACTAATGTGCATTTTTATCAGAGCAAGTTAACCCAAATCCAACTGGCATGGCATGTACATCCATGCCATACCCACTGTCATTTTACTTCATTATTAGTTTTTACACATCGATGGCTACAAGTTGTATTAAGTTCTGCCTGTCTTGCCTGCTTACCATTTTCCTTGATTTTTGAAAATATCTTACGTTATATTGCTGTTACTAATGTTTATAACATTATAGTAACTATAATGTCTATAAATAATAAAAATAACACCATCAATATTCAAAGCATTAGTCAAAAAAACGTTTTTCCTGCCAATTCAAGGAAAGGTGAAATCAGGTAAGGTCTCAACATCTACTAATTGACTCCTTTGTGGCTAAGCACTTCACAAAAATATAAAAAATGAGCACAGCATTTTCCTGGCAGCATTGAGTTAATCACTGAAGGTTATTTATTAAGTGTTAGACACAATCTCCATACTTGTTCCTTATAGCCTGTCCTTATAAACTAGCTGTGAGCCTCGACTGTTCGTATCTGCTTAGCAATTGAAAATAATTTCTCTGCACAATACGTAGTTTTGTCATTAACTAATTGGTTAATATTCTCTAATCAAAGTGTCAATTCATTCATCAATAGACTAAATGTACTTAAAATGTAATATGACAAATTAGAATTGTTTATAAAACTATGACACACACACACAAAAAAAAAAGGGGGGGGGGGGGGGATTAGAGTACACATAGTCTAATCTACGTATACTCGAATCTAATGCTGTATCATTTATATTTATATCATAAAAGTATTGAAATGTAAACTTTTCAAACTTTCTATCGATCCTCAGTGTTAACCCAAATGGCCTGTATGGCAAGAATACAATGCCATGCCTACTGTAATACAAGTTTATTTTTGTATTTACACATAGATGGCTCTGCAAGTGCTTAGTCACCAAGGAGTCAGTTCTTAGTCCTACCTATCTCGCATATTTACCCTTTTCCTTAATTTTTGTAAAGTTTCTTTTGTATTATTTCACTGTCTTTAATATAACCATAACTTTAATAACAATTTAATAATCATAATATCAGAAAGAATAATACCAGTATTGATATCAATAGTATTTGAAAGAAACACAAATTTTCCCACAATTTTAAGGAACTGGGAAATCAGGAGTCGTCAGTAGGGCCTACTGATAAGACTCCTTGGTGCTAAGCCATCTGTATGTAACAAAATTCACAAAAACTACAGGGGACTGTACATAAATTCATAGTGATTGGGTTAATAACTGTTATCAAGCCAACCTTAACAGCTATCTCCATATAATGAAAGAACGTGGATCAAGTATTCCATAAAAAAATTAAGCCAACCAACAATAATTTCTTTAGTGTTTATCTTTTTCAATATTCTAAAATAATCATAGTTCCATTCTCAGCACAAGTCCCGATTTAAGACTATTCAGTGATCTAATCTGATGCCTTCTCCTCTTCCCTTGACCCTCACTTCCTCCTTGCTATCCTCTTCCTCTTATCCCTCCCTCTTCCTCCCAATCTTTTACTTTTGTCTTTCTGTCTACTTCTTCCTACCATCTTGATTTTTCTCTCTCTATCTCTCTTTCAGTAAACTTGAAAATGTAATCCAAATAGTTGAGGTCTCATGGATTGGCTAAGGAATTTGTAAATGCTAAAGAAAATTCTAGGTTTATTGATATGGATATCTATACCTATATCTATATCTACACATATTAACCCAAAAGGCCTAGGGAAAATGTTGTGTTTACTGTAGTATTGTTTTGTGAAATGTCTCTGCAAGTGCTTAGCCACAAAGGAGTCAATTAGTAGACCTTGTGACCTAACCCGACTTCACCTTTCCTTGAGTTTGCATGAATTTTAACATTTTTACTATCATCTTTTTTTTTAATACTAATGCTTTCAATATCAATGCTGTAATTTTTATTATAAACTTTATAATTGTTATAGTTTTGCTAACATTCGTAATAGTAACACTGAATACCAGAAAATATTTTTGAAGATCAAGGAAAAGGGTAAACAGATGAGATGCGTATTACTCGTAATTGGCTCAGTGATGAATCAGCATTAGTGGAGCCATCTGTGTGTAAAAAGAATCAAACTAAAGTCGCAGTGGGCATGGCGTGTCGTCCATGCCATCAAACAGCAGCTTGGGGTTGATCTACCTCTCAATCTATCTCTCTGTAATTACTTTTTCATATGGGAGAATCTGTTACACAATGCACTGTCATTTAATATGTATTTATGAACATTTATGAACTGCCATAGAACTTCAGGTAAGTATTTCATTTGTCAGTATTCTTAACCCAATGCCGCCAGGAAAATTGAATAAAAAATGGGAAAATGCTGTGCTCATTTTCTATATTTTTTGTGAAATGTCTGCATATAGATGGCTCTGCTAGTGCTTAGCCACAAAGTAGTAGACCTTGTGACCTTACCTGATTTGAATTGGCAGAAAAATGTATTTTTACACTAGTGTTATGAATATCAATGGTGTTATTTTCATTATAAACATTATAATTACTATAAAGTTATAAACATAAGTAACAGTAAAATAAGATAACATAAAATATTTTCATAAATCAAAGAAAAGGGTAAACGGGTGAGACAGGCCGTACTCGGTTCATTGTTGACTTAGTACTAGTGTAGCCATCTATGTGTAAAAGTAACACATCATGCCTGTCGGCATTGGGTTAAGTAATAATCATAGTAACAATCAAAGTAGTGAAGATGAAAACTGAGATAATTTCTTGTATAATGTGAGGTTTAATTCAGAAAAATAATGTGGTACATAGAAGCCTCTGCTGAACTGGCTATTCCTTTCCCACAAAACAGAATATTTCCACTTGGGTCAATCACAGGGCAAGCTCATCTTTCCCAGCTCCTCCCTCCCCCCCACAAGACACAGTATCCATGAGGTCACATACACAGATTACCAAGAAATAAAACACTTTCCAAGGGAACTGAGCTGAGAGCGCACACTAAACTTTCCAATCTCGGGATGAGAAACCCAAGCAGTGCAAGTGGAAAAGTTGATGAGGGAGGGCTGGGGGAAGAGAGAACCAGGAGAGCAAGAAGAGGAGAGAAGAGGATGATGGGGAGAGCCACAATTCCTCACGGGCACAAACTTACGGTTCTGCTAACCCATGTACAAGCTACATAATATGCCTGCCACATGGTGGCGGTGGCAGTAGCACTGCCCTCACCCGGCCTGAACTGAGGCGAGTGAACCAACCACAACTCTGAGGCTGACAGAGACATACACACACATGTATGAACAC